TTCATCCTCTGGGGATCATGAATGCCTGTACCTGAATTTCATGGCGATCTATCAGTAAGCTGCTGAACCAAAGCCCAACCAGCAACACTGCTCGCTTGGCTAAAAAACTACTAGATTAACGTTAAGAAATCCTGGTCACAAAAGAAAGCAGCACTTCTTGTTTGTAGAAGACAGCATGCCAGGTGTGACACTATAACAAATTTGTGTTACTACTGTGGCTCAGGAGGTAGAGTAGGTCGTCAAATCAAAGGGTTGGCGGTTTCATTCCCAGCTCATCCAGTCCGCAGGTTGGGTAAGATACTGAAGCCCAAATTGCCCGAGTTAATATTGGTGTATGAGTGAATGTGTGATAGAGATGTGCTGTATATATAGAAGCACTGTATAAATTTGTGCGTGAATGTGGCTTGTAGTGTAAAGCGCTTTGAGTGGTCGATAACACTAGAAAACCCCAGTGCAGTCCATTTATCATTTATCATAATGCTACATTATTTGCATGATCACAAGGGGTAATTCGTCAGGAAAATTCTTTTTTAAGAAGAGGAATTAGCTGTCTTACGCTGGTGTTTTGATGGTATGATGATGCTCACAAGTATCTTTTATTAATAGCTCACACATGCTTTACAAATCATTCATTCACCAACAATTACAAGGCACTTCAGTTGACTTCTATTGCACAAGAAGGCTCTGTAACCATTTCTTTCTTCTTCCGTCTTGCTCTCTTTCTTCTCTCCCTGCCCTCTTTTCTCTTTTGCCCTCCCCCTCTCTTTCTTTGTCTCTGTCTTTCCTCCTCTCTCTCTTCTCTGTGTCCCTGTGGGGTTTCTCCAGCAGCTGTCATGCACTAGTGTGAGCATGAGGGGAGATGATCTATGGGCTTCTACATCGAAGCAATTAGCCAAAAGAAATTCAGAATGGAGAGTGAGATACAGTAGAGAAATGGGTGTGTGTGTGTGTGTGTGTGTGTGTGTGTGTGTTGGGGGGGGGGGGGGGTGAAGAGGTTGAGAGTACGAGAGTTGAAAAAAAAAGGAACAAAAGAAAGAGACAAAGAGATGGGGGAGGCGGGCAGGAGGGAAAACAGTGAGGTGAAATCTAAAAAGGAGATGAGGAGATGATTCGGACCTTTCCTTCAGCAGAGGTTCAGGGTGCAGAGGAAAAATAGTAATTGTAGACTGATGATGTTCCTGTATAAGTGGTGGGGAAAAGGGTGAACGTGTGCAAAGAGTGAAGGAAATAAATGAAATTGGGAAAAGAGGGATAGACTGGCAGAATTCCAAGGGCAGAGAGGAAGATGAAGAGTAATTAGGCGGAAATCCAAAACGGTAGGAGGGACATGAAGAACAGCTGGAAGGAAATGAAGGAGGGAGCGAAGGTCGATAGGGGAGGCAGGGAAGTGAAGGAGGGATAGAGCAAAGGGCAGTGGGAGTGATTGAGAGAAAAAGGGGGATACAAAGAGAGAGAGAGAGAGAGAGAGAGAGAGAGAGAGGGGAAAGAAAGGGAAGAGAGGCAGTAAAATTAGGGGGGGGGTGGGGGGGGGGGTGGGGGTCGGGGGGTTAGGGTTGGGGGGGGGCAAGAACAGAGGTGTGAGGCCGGTGCATTGGCAAAGGAGGGAGGGAAGGAGCCAGGAAAAGTAGGACAGTAGGAGGGAGGTGTAGATGGAAATGGAAAGGGAAAATGAGGGAATTTGGTGGAAAGGACAACGCAAAAAAGACAGGAAAAACGTTACGTAAATGGTAATCATGTTCTGTGTCAGCCTAAAACAAGCGTCAACAACTGATAGTTGCTGAAGCATTTCTCTATGCTGAAATATTTCATGCAAAATAACCTCATCCCTCATCCCTATAGTAAAAACCTTGGTTTTCAGGGCCTTTAAAGTGGGCAATGGTCACACTTTCCTCTTTTAAATTTCAATTTTCAAATGCTTGTAAGCTCCATGTGCATAATTCTGAGACAGACTCCCTCTATGTTGTTGTCCGTCTTAAATTTCTTAAATTGTGGTTTTATCACACAGGACCGTGTTGGTGTGTTATTGGTGTTAAGAGCAGTGTATGTAAAAACTGTAATGAACTAGCTATAGGTTAAATCATATTACACAATAATCTAATAATTAGGACAGTGTCTTTTTCTTGAGTGTCCATTTGTCACCTAATATCACTTCGCCTCTGCTCCCATATGATACAAACTTACTGTCCATGCAAACAACACGTCATATCCGTCAATTCTATTAAACAAAGTAATCCACTGTCAAACACAATACAGTGAGTAGAGTATTTCACAGTAAACATTCATTTTCTGTCAGCACCATCCTCTCGTGCTCAGGGAGCTGCCACCAGACAAGCTGCAGGCCTTTGCTTCAGGTCCCCGAGAAGCCAGCAGTCCTGTCGCTCTCTCTCTCTTGCTTACCACTGAGCCTGAGGGGTCTCACATCTGACAGCCGGTCCCAACGCGAGGAGACCTGCTCTGACCATCTGTCTGGGCCACCCAGTCATAGCATTACTGCTGACAAGAGATGTGTTCTCTGGGTGTTTTTTTCTCCTTCATGAGTGGGTATCACTGTCACTGCGTTTTATTCAGCTACACTGACCATGAGCTCATTGTCTCGTCCATCATTCCAGGGTAAAGTCTGCTGTTCTATTTTTTTCTGTTCTCACATCTCAGCAAATACAACATCGCAGCATTATTCTTTATTCACTATTACATAATCCGAGGGTTCCTTTCACATTCTTGAAACAGACGAGAATCACAATTTTTAGCGAGTGCCAGCGAGCGTGCAGAAGCAGTTGTTGATTGCTGAATGGGATTATAAAGAGGAGCATGTTGCTCATTCCTCTTGAGGGACACATACAAGGGTTTTGTTCTGTGCCGTTGTATTCCCAGTTCAAATCTGAGGTGGTTTCCCCTCAACAAAGCTTGACGTACAACATAAAACAATTAAACATTGGGGTTGGTGGAGAAAGGAATTATCGATGCAGAAAATTGATTTTTGTAATGAAATGTAATTGAAACAAGTCACTTCGCAGGATGTCTCAAACAGTTATTATAAACAAGCTCTACGTCACTTTTTGTGTTTGTGTATATGAGGCATGTGGCTTGATGTGTGTGTGTTATTTCCTGTTATTTTAATAATGTCCCAAAATCTATTGGGTATGATTTGTTCATGCTACATGTACATGTACGGTATATGTGGTTTGAGACTTGCATGTTATTATTCAATTTAGGGGCTAGTTTGAACAGGTTTGACTCCTTCTCAAATTACAGCAGCGCACACACACGCATGCGCGCACGCACAGTTTAGAATCTGCCAAACCACACTAGTCCACTGTCTTGCATAATAGGCATTGCACTGTAAACATTAGCTGTCTATCAGCACAGCTCAGCATCATTCTGCACTACATTGGCACTGTGGGTGTTTGTTTGTGTGGATGGGTGTTGTGTTTGTGTGCCATGATAGATGGATTCAGGTATAAACAGCTGGTCCACTTCAACTGGGTATTTAGAGCTAGGCACAAATAGGCTAATTAATTGTGATAGACTTCAGCAGTAATGCGGTTCTGTTTTCGCTGTCATCACTTGAGCACAATCCCCACTGATCCCCCCACTCTTGCTTCCTCTCTCACTGTTTCCTTTAATAAAATTTCCTCTTAACACATAACCTCTCTTTACTGCAACTCTCACTAAAAGTATTATGAATTCAGGGTCAGTTTCTTGACACTAGGGAATGATTTTCAAGAGTAGCTCTTCACTGTGCAGATAAATCAGTCATTTATTGAAGTAAATGACCTTCATATTGCAGCCCACACAGGCCTTCATCTACCCGCGATGAGGATCCCATCAGCCTTTGTATCTGTGTGTTAAAAGTTACATTTTGGCCCCGGAGGCTAGTGCGTGGCGATTCAGTTAAACGCTCAGAGAGGCACTCCTTGACCAGTTGAATTTGTTTCCATTTTTAATATCTGAAGTTTCAAAAGTGGAGGAGCTGAGAGGTTAAAGTGGTGTTGGTGCTACAACATCCTAGATGAGCTGGTTAAATTTCAGTTGCGGACTGTATTAATAATTTCCAGTGTCCACGTTCCTTTAAAAAGGTATTTAAAGCTGCTCGATATAGATATTTATGATAGCAATGGGTCAAATGAATATGTGTATTGTGAAAGCTGTCTCTAATACTGACCAACCCACAGAGAATTATCACCTGTCTCTGCTCTTCCCCTCAGCTTTATAGAGCGTTTTAGTGTCTTTCAGCTCACTGATTGTGGTTTTACAGCCCACAATTTTACAGCTTGGGTTTGCTGTCAGCTCTCTCATTAGATTTAACCATAACAGACAGATGGTTTCAGCAAAAAGCTCTGATAAACCCACTGAATGCTATAGGCTCAGCACTAACAAAGACAGGCAAATTTAGCGACAAGCTACTGAACATAGTGGAGCATTAGGCAGCAACAGAGTCAGACATTTTCCCCAGGAGTTGGTAGAGACCCAAAACAAATGTTTGATTTACATTGATTTTCCATTTTTATATGTCTTTCCTGCATTTACTGCTTGTAACACAGTCCCCACGTGGCCAAAACAAAAATATAAATGATAGAAGGTTTCATTCTACATCTTCTTCATTCTTAGTAATGTTAATTTATATTACCAGTGTTAATTAATAATATTTATATTTTTCCATTACTATACAGTTGCAGTGCTGTGGATCTGTGGTTGTTAAGGGATTGGTTTTGGGATCTCCAGGGATACGTGAAGGAGCACAACAATGAATAGTTTAAAACTACTGATCTGGTCTGTGGGGAGCTTTACTATTTTTCCCTTTAAGCCCAGAGTCAGAAAAACACACTGGAAGTTATTTTTCATGCCACTTACATTCAGTGTGAATATATGTTAAACATATATCTGTCTAAGTCTGAGTAAGCAGGAGAGGTACTACAATGATACCACACCTCCAACCCCATAACAACCTTAAATTCTTACCCTCATGCTCACCTTGCCTCTTCCTCCTCATTCTCATGCAGACAGCAACTTCATCCTGGCCAACGCTCAGGTGTCGAAAGGCTTTCCCATCGTCTACTGCTCTGATGGCTTCTGCGAGCTCACAGGATTCTCCCGGGCGGAGGTCATGCAGAAGAGCTGTGCCTGTAAATTCCTTTATGGGCCTGAGACCAGCGAAAGCATCATCCTTAGCATCGATGACGCCTTGGAGGAGCGCAAGGAGTTTAAAGATGAGATTATGTTCTACAAAAAGACAGGTGAGAATTGCAAAAGTTATTGGGAACAGACTGAATTTGGTTTTGTTGCTGGTTGAGTAGCTGTCATCCCTTCATTTATCATTTGATTCTGTGGCTCTTTTGTGCTCATGCCCGGTCATGTTACCATAAAACAAGAACTCTGTGCCTTCCTCTACCATTTACCAATTAAGTGCTGGAACCTCAGCAAGTAGACAAGCACAGAAAGCCATTAGAGAGTGCACAGACAGAGTGATTACCATGTGGGACTTTTCCTGTATATTTCCATAAATGGATGGCAATTCTCTGTAGCTATTTCCGAAGAAGCTTCATTTAAATTGGCATAGATGGAACCATGGAGAGACGAAGTGATGACTGGAGGAATGGATGGATAACTTTTTTTTTTTTTTTTTAATGGTCCGTTCTCATTAAAAGGTGATTAAACAAAGAAATCCGTCACAAAAGTCTCAGTTATTACTTAACACTGAGACACATTAAACTTTTGTAGCTGTCAGTTGGTGACTCCTTAACCCTGTCTCCTTCAAATACACTGAGCCAGATAGCTGGCTGTGGTGTGCTGTGGTGTGGTGTGCTGTGGTGTGGTGTGGTGCGGTGCGGTTTGGCGTATGTGTGTGTGCCTCACTGATTAGCCAGCTGGCCAGCAAACAAAATGGAGTCAAAATAATGAGCACATCTAGGCATCAGTGGATACATGCTGACTGTGATGTGGGATGGTGCCATGTGCCCTGGCATGTGTTGTGTTTTTCTTACTTTTATGCTTCTTGTTTTTGTGTGTCTTGCATAAGATTCAGTTCTGATAATCTACAAAAAAAATCTATTTATTTATTTACGGTTATTATTACATAATAAAGTTTTCTCACAGTTGTGATAAAAATTTTAATATAAATTCCCATTTTTGTGATAATTTCAAAGAATTCTCATCTTGTACGAGCTAAGATAATGGGAGTGATGTTGACACCTGATCTCGGAAAGGGGCGTTATATTGTTTTGGCTTTTCCCTAACCGGTTGTTGGTGTATGCTGATATATCTGACATAATTTTCAGCTGACACTGAGAGCGGTTGCTCGGAGCAGTTAATGTTTTTCACATTGTCAATTTAAGAGTTGTTGTTGCACAGTTGTACAGCTGTGTCTATCTCATTCCCTCTTGTCATCATTTGTTCCTGTCACTATAACGTAGCTTCCTAGCTTCATGAGCAAGCTAGGTAGGTTCTCAGTCTTAATCCCACATATTAAGCTCTGATTGTTCAATTGCTTCTCTAAAAGCTGTCAATGTGTGCCAACACCACACCTGCTTAAATTGCACAGCAACAAATGTGAGATGTGGGCAGAGATTCAGAGTGGATGTGTGCAAGCGAACTCCATGGTGCGATAGGATTAAAAGCTCCACAGCAGCTATTAAATGCACCTTTTGACAAGGACTGTAAGGATTGTTTATGATGCTGCCTTGTGATGCTGCGTTGTACCACATATTCTATATTTTTTCTTCGACTGATTTACAAAGCAGATTTAGCAGGCAGCTCAGTGAAGTTTGCATAGACACAGCTTTGCTAATACCATCACAGATGTGACTGTCTATGCCACCCTCTCGCTCGGTTGTCTTTTCTGTCGCACTCCCCCTTCTCCTTTCCCCTTCTGTTCTCTATCACTGTCCCTTTGTTACCTTTCACCTCCCTCCATCTCTCTCACGGCAACAATACCATTTCTTTTCTTCCTCCTTTTTTTTACCATTTCCACATGTGTCAGTTTGTCTGTCAGTCTGTCTCCCATGCTTATCTCCCTCCTTCTTTCCCTTTTTTTTTGTGTTGTCTCATTCCTCTCTTTTCCGTCTGTCACAGCAGAGTCCTGAACGTTAAGTGTAGCTGATTGACTCGGTTTGCCCTCCGCCTGTCTGCCTGAGAGAAGAGAAAGCTGCATGTTCGCAATCAGGAACGCTCTTTCTCTCACTGTGTGTGCTTGATAGTGCTGCCTTGTCTCGCTGGCACACACATATTCGCACACACATACACACACATAGACAAAAACACTGTAATTGAGTCATCACCAGGCAAGGAAGATGTAGTGCGTGGGAGTGATGGGAGGGATCTCCGTGGGAAATCCCTCTTAATCAGCAATTCATTTGTACTCACTGAGTAGACAAGAATGAAAGGCAGAGCAAGATGAAAATTTAAGGTTCAGCAATGCACAAAATGATAATATTGTTGTGCATTTTTTTTAAGCCAACAAATAATCAGTGTCCTATTACATCTTTTTGATAAACCAAACTTGAACAGAAGTGCACTAGCACTGGTGCAGAAGCACACATGCTCACAGATGCTGACCTGCAGTTCCTCTGAAAAGCAATCTATTTAGCAGGAGATGGGACCTCAGAGATGGGTTCATCTCTTGCTGTGCTTGGGGAAAAGAGACTTGGTCTGTTTAAAGGCTCTGCGTCTCCCGAGGGGCTTCCAGCTGTAGATAGGCTTACTAATAAGTCTGGGAATCTGTCAGTCTGTTGCTCTATGTACACATATACACAGTGGCACACACACACACTCACACTGTGAGTCCATCCTGCGTATAATCAAAGGCGGTGTTTAATAGTGTTAATAAGCGTGTCTTTCCCTTTCAGTGGTGCTGTTCTGGTGCCTGCTGGATATTGTGCCAATTAAGAACGAGAAGGGAGACGTGGTGCTCTTTCTGGCTTCGTTTAAGGACATCACCGACACTAAGGCTAAAGCCATCCAAGAGGACAAGAAGGAAGGTCAGTGTGTGTGTTGGGGATGCTACTGAAATTCAACAATTCCAGAGGCCAAATTCGATACAACAGCGCACGTGCACACACACACACACTCACACACACACACACACACACACAACACACACACACAACACACACACCAAGCACACACCAAGCACACACCTCTACATAGTCTGTGTGTAAGTAGTAGTTTAACTTGACTAATATGACAGACCAACAGTGCGTAAGTGCTACTACTACTTAAACTACAGTAATGACATTAATGCCTTACTAACATTATTAGCACCCAGCTCATGTTAGGCGCTGACGCTATGTTAGCTTAAACAAGATAATGTTAGCTTTTGAGAAGACTACCTGTGGAGCATTGGAAGCCACTTGTCAAAATTCACAAAACAATAACAGTAACATTTCAGGACATGAACATTTTGACGACATTTTGTTAATATAAAGTTCACAACTGAAACTCACTCACCCAGATTGTATTGGTTCTAGCGACATCTCTAGTAGGTGTGTTCATTTAGCATGTGAATTTTGGTTTCTTTAAGGCTGTGGCTAACTGAACAGAACAGAAAGGATTCGTCATTTATCCATCAAACCAAATTTCTAGTAACACGATGCTTGCGATGACTGTGTTGAAGGTATACCATCACTTCATTTGTCCTTAAACTTATTTTGACCCCTCAGTTCAGTACAAAGCCAATATCTGTGCTCCGTAGCATAGGTGTGTTTGTAGTCCTTTTAAGAGAATCAGCATTTCTGCCCGCACGCTGTAGGCAGGTGGTCGGCGTGGATGGTGGACTGCAAAGTACTGAACATATAGACTGGGAGTTAGGTTTAGACAACAAAAAACACTTTGATGACTCCAGCGCAGTAATGACTCCGATATCTTTGTCAGAACCTCACCTCATGTTTGCCCTTCCTGTATTTAAATAATATCCAACATTGTAAATACAAATAACAACTAACAACAACAAAGTTGCAAATTTTGCTCTCAAAATCAATTTCCTCAAAGGATTACCTTAAGGGCAACATCTAAGCTAAGGCCAAAAGCAACCTACAAAGCAAGAGAGAAGGTCACGGCGTGTGTCTGTGAAGTCAGCAAACTGACTTTTCTCATCTCAGGCCTGCCTCCCCTGGATTTACCTAATTACTCTCAGTACTGTAAATAAGAGAGAACAGGAAGCAGAAAGCAAAGTTATTTTTGCCCACATAATGAAATGCTTTTCATAGCAAAGGAAAGAGGCTGATGCAGCATGCTGTCAGACAGAGAGAAACGCCTCACTATAATGGGTTTGGGTCTGACAAGCTCGTTTAAATGAGAATATGCCGGGTGAGCCGCACAGAACATTTGCATATTGCTGTTCTCAGTGCAGACGTAGCAGGGGTGGGATTGTTTTTTTTGTGTGTGTTTTTAGCCGGTGCAGAAGAGTTAGTGAGTTGGCATGGGTGTAGGTAAACCTGGTTTGTTTATCACCAAAGTGAATGGAAGAGGACAATAATGATTATAATCAAAGATAAAATCATTAACAGTGTTTAAAAAAAGAGAAATGTTATAAAACCAGGAGTTACACAGACACTATGACGTCAGAGGGGTGTTTCCATCCATGCTGAGGAAGCCCTCCAAGGACGGACAGACACTTTGGATGTGACCCAGTTCGCTCTCTGTCCTGCACACTGACTGGACAATGTGTGCAAAAGAGGGAAACCCAGTCTCTGTTGTCAACAGTCTCCTATCTCTGTCCCCTCACCTTCTCTATTTTTTCCTTTTCTGTCATGAATTTTCACCCTTGGTAAAATCGCACTTGTTTCTAGCTTCCTGGTGCCCCCCTTCATCACTTCTATTTCTCATCTATTGCACCTGCTATTACAGTATTCCCACCTCCCCTATCTGCCCTACATGCCTTCTCCCACCCCCCACCCCCCCTTATACACAACACCCACCCCCCCTCCCACCTATACTCCCCCTCTACCCTCACATGAATGGCTATAAAAGCGCAGGGAAATTCATTAGATCTAAAAATAAGCATGTCTCTGTCTCTGTGCTCCTGCCGTGTCGTGTCCCCCAAGGCTACACCGTGTTGGATGGATGGGCCCTGTCTGTTCGCCTCGTCTGGGGTCCATGCACACACATGCACAACACACACCACAGAACGCACACACTTTCCAAAGGACACTCAGAAGCAGCTATCACTTCTATTCTCCAGCTTTGTTATTGCCGTTATCTGCCCTCCAGCCAATCTGGCTTTAGTCCTTTTCTGTGGGTTCGTAGCAATGAGAATGGGGCTCAGAGCCCATGAGCAATAAAGTGCCTTCTCCCATTACCCGACTCCTTAATCTGAGCACATCACTCCTCCTGCACTACACATCTGCTTTATCTACTACTACAATAAACTTGGGAGAAGCACACACATAAGTACACCTGCAAGTGCACAAATCCACCCCTGTAGCAATCCACCATAACAAATCTACCCCACTATATTTAACTGCCTCTCTGCCCTAGCACTGACTTGTCAAAGCTGAAAATTGCAGCGTTCTTTGGAGAGAGTGCGTACACAATAAAACATTATCAACCAATATTTATGGCTGAATAATGTGAAGCAACCCAGGTAACAAATGTCTGACATTTACAAAAACAAAATGACAGTAAATACCCTGTTTTTTTTTTTGTTTTTTTTTTACTTTGTAAATTGTGCATTTTACCCTGAAATGACACATGTTGCATATTCATTTCCTGAATAGGACAGAATATTATGTGTTTCATCAAGCATAATGACTGATTCACTCATCAGGAGGTAACCTTGGGGGGTAAAGTATTGTAGGGGGAGTGTGCACTAACTTTCGTGTGTCTGTGTGTATATTTACAGAGCGACGGCGCGGCAGGGTGAAAACAGGCTCTCCATTCAGCTCAGCTCGTCTGCGGAGCAGTACAGTGCTCTACCACATCTCTGGTCACCTCCACAGCAGAGAGAAGAGCAAGATTAAACTCAACAAGGTATCATCGGACAACTTCAATAACAACTGGCCAGGATGTAACATGATGATGGGTCTTTCAAAAGTGGCTGGGGTTGGACTTTAAAACATGGGGAGTGAGACGAAAGCTGCTGTTGCTAAAGCACAGTAGAAAAAAAAAAAAATCAAAGGGCAGGGAGCTGAGGAGAAACATTGTCTCTAGGTGGAGAGTGGCTCTCCAGTAAACAAAACTCTCCAGTAAACACTGTGGTGCATTAGCTGATGCTGTGTGTCACAGATTCCTTTGGATGAACAAGAGTATAATTTATTTGTAGTATCAATTTAGTCCCCGCTAATCTAATCACAAGCCGTCTACTTCGTCAAAGAGCAGAGGAAAAACAGAGATTACATTAGGCTACAGAACAAATGTCATAAAAGTGTAGTGTTATGAAGATATAATGGGTCTAGCTAGTGAGCTAGCCATGATGTTCCTGTTGTTAGCAGAGAGTGTATTTACACATACACATTTGTGTTGTCCAGAATGTGTTTGGGGACCCGCCCGCTCTGCCAGAATACAAGGTAGCAGATGCCAAGAAGTCCAAATTCATCTTACTGCACTACAGCACCTTCAAGGCCGGTTGGGATTGGTTGATTCTGCTTGCCACTTTCTACGTTGCCGTGACGGTGCCGTACAACGTGTGCTTCATCGGTGATGATGATGACCTGACCCGCAGCACGACTGTCAGCGACATCGCGGTGGAGATACTGTTCATCATAGGTTCGTTGCGTGGTTGGTGGAAGTCGATGCAATTAGGATTTCAATGACATTGATGAGAAGAAAAAAAAATTAAAAGTGAAACAAAGCCTCTACAACATGATCAAAATGAAGTACATATTCATGTACATGTGAAGGAATTCTTGACACTTACCACCATAATTGTGTTTTTTGTATCTTCCTGTCAGACATTGTTTTCAATTTTCGCACAACTTATGTCAGCAAGTCGGGCCAGGTGATCTTTGACGCCCGACAGATCTGCATCCACTACCTGACCACATGGTTCATCATCGACCTGGTGGCTGCATTGCCCTTTGACCTGCTCTATGCCTTCAAAGTCAGCGTGGTGAGTGGCTTAACCCCCCACCCCCCACCCCACCCGCCCCACCCCTTGAGGTTTAATATGGAACATAATCAATGATCTACTGTATATCTAGCTTGTAAATTGTTAGTTTTTGTTTTGTCCCTCATGCTATTGACTTCCAAGAATTCTTTAATGTAGAATATAACTTTTATTTTTATTTACATCTAATACTACAATACAATAATTATATGAAAAGAGAAAAATAAAATGAAGGTGAAAGAAAAAAAAAAGGAAATATAAACTGTTCAAACTAATAGAACATGACTTTGAATGCTATTGTAATCTAATTTTCATGATTGATGTCCAGGAGCGGAAACCCTGCATGTAATCCTGTCACCGCAGTGGTGCACTGTAGCACATTTGACATTTCATAAGAATAGATCACATGGATTGTTTCCAGCGCTGCTCCAGTGCCTCTTTGATTCTGTGTATTGATTCCACACACTGTACAAGTGCTGAAAAAACAATCAAACCTGTATCATTAAAACCTTTTTCTGTTCTGCTTGAGTCAAATACATGGCCCCCTTAAGAATAGTTGAGTGGAGGAGGAAACAGAGATCCGGAGCAATTAGGTAGACTGTCTTGTCTTGTCTCTGGCTGAATGATATCACCCATAGGAAGCGCTTCACTATAGGGAGACTTTGATTGGTTGCTTATGGAAGTTTTTGCTTTCTGGCTTCTAATTTAGAGAAAGCGTTTACTGTATTTTATGCCGCTGTTTATTCTCACTCAACCACTTTCACCTGAATCAAAAGGTCCAGTATACAGTATGGGAAGGATGCATAGTGGGGCTCATTGTAAGGGGACTGTGAAGGGAAAACAAAGAAAGGATGCAGGTGAAGTATTATGATAAAAAATAGAACAATTATAAAGAGGAGATTTTGTAACGAAAGCAATGTGAGCAAAAAAATAAAAAAAGAATATATGGTGTCTTTTATACTGTGAAGGGGAGGGGTGGTGGATGGGTGGGCACAGCTGCAGGCGAAGTTGCCTGTGTTGGTTCCAGACTCTATTAATGGAAATACCACACGCTCCCAGTAGGTTAGGATTTGGGTGTAGGGCTACTGGGCGGCAAGTTCCCCCTGCTGCCGTTGGGAGGGAGCAGGAATGGCCGGTAATTGCTGAATGTTCTGCTTGGTGTCCCCTCTAAGGACAAAGCATTCAGACTGATGTCCCTTTTGAGCACCGAGACAATCTCTCACCAAAATGAGCCAGGGGGCCTCAGCAGTGTCCCTCCACGGTGTTCTCCTTTCTTTCGTTTCCGTCGAATGTCTCTGTTGTTTTGGCTTTTTTGGCTTGTTTGATAGCCTGTCAAGGTTCTATTATTTGACACTGAATGTTTCTTGGAGTATGTTATTTATTTCCTTCATATTTTCCTACTTCCCATGATCATCTGCTCTGCACTTGATGGTCACCTGATTCTGAGTGAAAGCCTGATCTGAACAAATATATCCCTTTGGCAAAAATGTAACTGATCAAAAGAAAACAAAAAATACTAAACACTGATTGTGTGTTTTGTTTATGGTGCTGAAGTAGATTTTCAGGAACAATGCTGCTGAAATACTATGACTACACTTCTTATTTACTAGTAAAATAAAGTGTGCTAAACTGAACGGTCTGACCATACATCTTTCACATCTTGAAGAAGTTAATATCAAAAGTGATCTTGCTCAAGATGAGCTAAAGACAGAAATTTGTTATCAATACTTCACTGCTACAGTTATTATTAAAACTCCTTGGCTACTACAGTATGTTCCCTGGGTCTGGAGACCTAGATGGTATTGGAGAGCCGTGTTATTCACGCTCAGTGGCTCCATACTGCTACATCAATACAATAAATAAAGCTAAAACTGGCCAGTCACGCTGTTGTGATTGGCTTGTAGGGCTAAAGGCGTGGCTGCAGGAAGAAACAATGAGCATTTGTGTAACGTTACAGCTTCGTGCACAAATACCACCTTTAAAGAAGCAGAAGGAAAGTAAGCAATCAGGCAGCTAAAATGTAAATTTCACACCTGATGAGCAGAGGAAATGAAAAAGTGACTGGAGGGGCTGAGATGAAAGTGGAAAGGGGAAAAGTTAAAGGGAAAAGTGGCAGGAGGTGTGTATGCATTGTTGGGTACATTATATTGCTTACTGTTCATGCTGCTGGAGGAGAATGGGATGTGGCGCAGCCTGCTCTCTCCATAGGTGGGATGTGGGGTGGTGATAGATGATGGAGAAGAGATGGAGCTTCTCCCCAGGGCTCAGTAGGAGGCTTCATTACTACTCGTGCTGCACCAGTTCTCTATTTCTCACAGCAAGAGTGTGGAAAAACCACCATAAAACATAGCGGCGAGACATGCAGGAGCAGCTCAGATAAGGGCCGTCCACACACATCTCCCTCCCTCTCGTACTGTAGCTTGTAAAAACATTCTGATCTCTCTCTCTCTCTTACACGCACACACCTGTTTCCTCTCTCCTGTTTTTTCATCATTCCTTTGTTGCTTATGTCCCACATCCTCCATCTTTCTCCCTCTATTTACTATTACATTACATACATATATACTAGTCAATATACCTTTCATTGGAATTTTCTGTCCCACTTTCCCAGTCTACACCCCCCCCCCCACACACACACACACACACCACCACCACCACCACCACCACACGCACACACAATACAAAGATGCATATACAACATATATCCTCACAGGAAGGTTACAAATGTCCTCCTTGTCCTATATCCTTCTGAATAATAGGTGGTGTGTGTGTGTGTGTGTGTGTGTGTATATGTCTCCAATGGGCAGCAATGCCCAAATGATAGACTGTTGGCGGAGATTGCCTGAGGAGCAGGTGCACAATGGATGACATTCACATCACATCTACAGCACATGAGTGTGGGAAAGGTGTGAGAGGAGCTTAACGTTGTGTGTGTAAGTCAGTCGAGGGAGGCAGACTGCTTGTGGCAAAAGTAGTTTAGTTTGTGAAGGACTGGTGGAGTGACAGTGAGAAAAGACAGAAAATAAGAAAGGCCGGAGTGGAGAAATACTGTATGGTGATGGTGAAGATTGGGAGGTTAAAAAACAAAACAAAACAAACACACCTGCGATCGAGCGCCTGATTGCTGTAGTTGGTAGTCAAGGATCCTTCATCAGGAAATATTCATATAGATCATATTGTTGATGTGTTTACAAGCATTTGTCACGTTCTAATTATAGAATATGAGAACATTTGAGCAGCCTCCAATGTTTGAGAGGACATGAAGCATGGGTAAGAGCTTTTTGTCACTTCAAGTGGTGTTGTGTGTGTGTGTATGCGCGCGTGTGTGTGTGTGTGTGTGTGTGTGTGTGAAGCTGGTTTATCACTCTTCTCATGAGATTTACCATCTGTAAAAGGGAGACGATTGCAGTCATATCCTCACTTTCATGGTGTCCGTTTTACTCTGTCTCTGTCTGTCTGTCTGTCTGTCCCCCGGCAGGACACCAGAAAATCACAAGAAATGAAGGGTATCCTTACTTGATACTTGATGACTTCTTAGCAAGAGATGAAACTCATGTTGCCTTCAGGAGCTATAGTTGTGGACAGAGAGGTGACAATGGTATCATGCTGATTTATAGTGATGACAATGGTGTGTGTGTGTGTGTGTGTGTGTGTGTGTGTGTGTGTGTGTGTGTGTGTGTGTGTGTGTGTGTGTGTGTGTGTGTGTCTGAACACGTGATGAACTGTGACACCCGTCGAGTTTAGGAAATCCTGCAAATAAACTCACCTCAGGTCCCTTGCCCTTCATTCCCAGGTGTCAGTGGTTCACCTGTTAAAAACGGTACGTCTGCTCCGTCTGCTGCGGCTGCTCCAGAAGATGGACCGCTACTCGCAGCACAGCACGGTGGTCCTCACCCTGCTGATGTCCATGTTCGCCCTGCTGGCCCACTGGATGGCCTGCATCTGGTACATCATCGGCAAGAGGGAGATGGATGCCAACACCTACAACTGGGATATCGGTGAGTACTGGGGGGAAACGATGGTAAGCAGTGGTCTTAAATCCAAACAAAAGACCTCCTGACTCCCTTGTTGTTGATGTTTTGAAACTTAAGTGGAGAAATACACTGTAGTGAGTCTCGTAGCATCATTCCTTTCAGCTCACTGGGGGTGCTATTGGGCACCACGCCAAAGAGGAGGTGTATCTTCAGGCGCAGTTGGAGCTCGGATTAGTGTTACTGAGGGATGTAATATGATACGAAGTGTATGTGTGTAATGTCACGGACCTTTAGTATTCTTCTAGTATAAAGCATTCATGTGATTTCCCTTTACTGCTTATTGCTTTGATGGAAAACATAATTTTATATCTTTGTCAGCTTGACACTGAGTCATGCTGAATCATCACAGAACACAACACATAATAACGCTGTGGAGATTCAGATTTTGTAAATGAAACTCTTTGATATTATTATGTTACCACTACAAGGCCTCCCTCTGTAAAAATAACCAAGTTTGAACAGGGATTTAGCTGCTGTGAATAAAGAATGAGAAGGAAAACAGTACCGAGTTCTCTTTATAGAAAAATGAACAGCGTAAAAAGAAAGTGACTAAATGAATGAGAGAGTGGGACATTAAAACCTTAAAATCTCTCCTGTGTTGAGAGCTGAGTGGTATGTGAAGTGTGCCTGTAGCGGGTCATTGTCCACTTTGTTACAAGACGCTAATGGAATGTGAACAATGGTGGCATCAAACACTGGGTTGGGACGGGAGGGAGCTGAAGCCCAGTCGTAGATTGGGGGTTTAAATCAGTAGAAATAAGAGAATGCTTTGGTCGGACAGAGGATCTTTTGGGCTACACAAGGGTGGCAGATGGAGAGTATAGAATATGTACAGACAGTTGTGCTACTGTAATTGCGTGTTTTTGTTTTTGTTTTTTTTTTTGTATGGGTCGAGTAGCGAGATGGCCAGATGAAGTGTTTTGATTTTATCTACATTTTTCTAGCAGCGGGAGCCATTATCCAGCTTCGTCAAACTCTGTACTAAATCAATATAAAGGAAACACTGGACTTTTCTGGACAAAGTTCTATAGAGTAATTGGATAAAGGCTGTAGAGCTAAAATGATAAATTCTTTATTGATCGGGCATTAATAAAAGAAATCTTTTCTCACTCTTTTGTTCACATAAATCCCACGTACATTTTATGTAAGAGACTCCTATTTCCCTTCCTTTCCCTTTCTTTTTGTGTCCAGATTTAATTTCAGACTTATCTCAACTATCGCATTATGCGTGGAAGCTCTGTAAACGTGTCAGTACTCTGGTGCATTGTGGTTTCATCGCTCATTATTTCCAAATCAACAGTGGTGAAAAGCTTAATGCAGGAAACATGCAGTTTTGTTTTTTTTCCAGAAAGTAGGATTTGATATTCACCTGTAGATGTGTTTCATCATGATCCTCCTACATGGTTTATTTAAAACCAGGATCAAAAACCATCTAGAATAATGAAGCACAATAATCGATGCGTTGTTTGGTGTTAAAGCAATTCAATTCAAAAGACACCACATGCAGGTTGGTTTGAAAGATATAGTATTGAACTGAGAGGTCCTTGCCAATAATAGTGCTATGGACTCATCATGTTGTCATATTATGGAGTAGGTGTTTGCAGGACAGAGACAGTCCTGCATGTTTGTCTGGGTCTCTTAATGTTTCAGTTAACTGTGTATTTTAGCAGCTAGATTAAGTTTATGATTACCTCATCAATTTATTGATTCCTAAGTCTGTTGTGAAATACGTATTGAATGGAAAGTGTGAGAGCAACAACGGTTGCTCAGTTGTGTGTGGGAGTGTGTGGGTATGTGTTTCTGCATGCAATCGTTGTATGTGTTGAAAACTGTGTGAGTGAATGGTGTGACTCTTCTCGTAATTAATGATGGAGCCCCCAGGCTTCCCCCTCAGCCTCCAGGTCCCTCATATAATGAGGCCCCCTGGGCTGATCTCTGGTCAGTATCGATGAGCTGCACTGCTTGCATTTACCTCACTTTGGCATCTTCATAACTGGTTCTGGGTCAGCATTGACTGGGTCATGAGAACGATGCAGATTTCTCTTCACCAATTACTGCATTTCAGTGTCATAAAATAACAGGTCGGTACACGAGGCAGGATTAATGTGTTGTATCCTAATTATGTGTTTCTGATGCTGAACTGAGTGTTGGAAGTCAGGCAGCTATGAGGGGCTTCCATCCAATTACCATTCATCAGTGTCTGCAAGAGACTCTCCTGGGATTCAGCCACACGTCTCCACACTGTACTGACCAGAGATCAGTTCAGGTTCCCAAGCATCTGATCTGTTTCTACTGTTATTGTTCTGGCTGTAGCATGGAGGGGACCGCTGCTCACAGCAGCTTCCAGAACCTAGCGCTGTCGGCTTTGTCTGCATCGACATGCTTCACTGCACAGAGGTCCAGATAACCACTGCAGCTCTTTGTATTTTAATAAACTACAGACAATCACATGGTGCATTTATGGTGATAAGATCTAGTTCCTTCAGAATATAAGAAGAATATTCAAAATTTTCTGACCATCAATTTGTCCTTTCATCCATCAATATCCAAACCATTTAATTCCAGGATGGCTTCATGAGCTTGGGAAGCGCCTGGAGTCACCGTACTATACCATTGGAGGTGTGAATGGGACCAGCAGCGGTCCCTCCATCCGGAGCATCTACATCGCTTCACTCTACTTCACCCTCAGCAGTCTGACCAGCGTGGGCTTCGGCAACGTGTCGGCCAACACTGACGCCGAAAAGATCTTCTCTATCTGTGTGATGCTTATCGGAGGTACACAGAACACAAACATCAGTGATCACATGAAAGCAACACATTCTAAAAATCTGATTTTCTTTTTCTTGGAACACATGCATGCAGTTACTTACTTCCTTTTTGTCTGAAAATATGAATTTCCTGCCCTGGCCTGTCACTTGTTCTTTATAAAGGACGAGTGTAAATGTGGCCAAAGAAAGCATGCACATTTTGATATGCATGCAGTTATATATTATAATCCAGTGGCAAGTATAATGTACATTAAACATTTGAATCATTACATTAGGTTTGTTTTTGGGGGAAGAAGAGAGGTCACCGTGGTGGGGTTTTCCCTGTGGACACTCCTCTCTCTGGTTCTGCTAAATGTTAAATGTCCCTGACTGCCTGGGGGCAGTAGCCGTCACAGACACACACCACAAACCACACACCAGTATACACATGCTTTCAAACGCGCACACACACATCCATACCACCCCTTGTGTGTTAATACAAAATGAAAACTAACACAAAGCACCTGTTCATATTTATAGCGGACCATAGGTCAAATGCAGTGAGTTTGTGGAGGAAATTGGATTATTGCCTCATTAGAATGACTTGAATAGAAAACCATCCACGAGCCTGTTGCACAGAACACAGAAGAAAAATTCAGATTGAACTAAACTTCTTTAAACCGTTTTCAGTGCTGAGAGCTCAATGGCAGAAACAGGAGTCAGTGGGCACACACCAGTTACATGAGACATGTAGTCTGTGTTCTGTGCTTTCATGTCCCGAGGTGTGTGTGACACACACCTGTGGCGCAGTTGAAAACTGAACGAGATTAGGAGAATACATTATCTGTGGGTGTATAAAGGGCAGGTATGTGTCATTCCAATCAAATCAGCTCGTCTCAGTTCTGACTCCAGCTCCTGTCTGCGAGGTGCAGAGTCACAAGACATGAATGTAAATATATTATTTGCTGGTTGACTGGGTTTGTCTGATTATTTGATCACATATATTGACAGCTTTCGAAAAGATTCATGCTTCATCATATTTACAGGAATATTTGATATGATTTTTCATAGTTGTGTTTTTGTTTAAATAAATCTTTTTATCTTTACATCTTTATTATTTTTATCATTATCAATATTATTATGTGTTACTTTGGAGAGTGTATTTGCGTGTGATGGCATGTTATCCCATTAATGCTGAACTGCTATCCACCGTTGCTGAAACAGCGCCTGGTGTGTCTCTTTACATTTACAGATACACCCAAAGTTTTTTCTGTTTTGGCCAACGATCTGATCCCTTCCACTTTTCTTTCCCCTGTCTATCTGTCCGTCATCCCTTCCTCTCCTCCCCGCAGCACTGATGCATGCCTTGGTCTTTGGTAATGTGACAGCCATTATCCAGAGGATGTACTCGCGCTGGTCCCAGTATCACACCAGAACCAAAGACCTCAAGGACTTCATACGCGTCCATCACCTGCCGCAGAGCCTCAAGCAGCGAATGTTGGAGTATTTTCAAACAACCTGGTCGGTCAACAACGGCATCGACTGTAACGAGGTACAAAACGAATCTAACCCGACACAAGCTGGTGTAAATACTTATCCTCCTTTTCCAGTTAACTTATATTTTGGCACCCGACAGCACAGCATGTGGGAATCAATACTTCATTTGAAAAACCACATGTTTCTCACCCCTCACATATCAGACACATTTAAACTCATCGCGAGTGTGATGATATGATCGATAGTACGCGATGCCTCTCAATGTAAGAACATGTTGTTTTCCTCAGCGCTGACTGACAAGGAGAGGACAGAGGGCAAGAACGATGGAGAAAGACATCTCTTCTCTGTCTCACATGCTCGTTTGTGGATGACAGCATACTTTGTAACTTTGATATTCGGGGCTTTAAATTTGTGCGGACACTTTTCTCGGCTGTTTCTAGTTTATGTCAAACTCATGTTACGTGCCAAGTACAAGGAATCCAGAAATTTGAGATGTGGGGAATCTAAGTGACATGATTGTACTGTAGGTCCATGAAATTAGAGTCTTGTACTTTTTTGAGATACTTGTACTTTACTTGATGTGTTTGTTTCTACTTTATGCTACTGCATATTTCCATGGGAATATATTGGATTCTTCACTCCACTACATTTATTTGAGTTTTTGCTTTCAGTTTCTTTGCAAATTTCAATATGTAAAACTAAAATGTTGTATGATGTACAATTAATGCAGGACTTTCACTTGTAATAGAGCATTATTACACTGGTACTTTTTACATTGCTGGAGAGCACTAAAGAGACAATAGATATTATATCAAACGCACACTAACAAACATTGTGGAGCATGTAAAGTTGACAAGCTTGGAATTTAAGTTTATGTTATGGTGACACTTATTGCAGGCTGTGCCAGACAGAAAAGTCGGCTAAATGCCTGAGAGCAAAAACAGATTAACATTAACATAAAGTGAAAAATGGAGACAGGTGGAGACGGAGCTAAGTTTGCCAGCATTGTATGAGGACAGCTTAGAGAAAACGCAAACAGAAAAGGAAGGTGAACAGCACCTTCCTGACAAGCCCGGGGAAACGGAGGCAGCCAGTCAGTAGTCAAATAGCGGCTCGTCCCTCCAGGCTGTGAATGCCTGCGAGACAGCTGTCAGAGCCCAGACCAGCGCTTAGATGGAGTGATGATGATGATGAATTCCAGACAGATGAATTATAGATGGGCCTGTTGATTAAAGTCAGCCCGGCTCTGATGACTCATTGATCGACTGTATGTGATGGTGAGCCCCAGATCTTTGTCCTGACAGGGAGACAGGCGGACAGATAAATGACGTGCAGTGTTTTGATTTTTTTTTTTGAAACGGTGAGAGGGATATTCCAGATTGTATGTGTGTGTTTTTGTTTTGTGCAGCAACTTTGTATATTGTGTTGATTTATACAGTAATATATGGGTAATATTAGTGGTTCAAAATGTATTTTTTAGCATTAGGCAGATGTTTCTGTTGTGGATCCATCATTTTGTTTGTATCAGTGTTCTGGACTAGTTCTTACATTTATTTATATTCACTATGACACATAGAAAACAAAACATGTTCCTCTTGTTTATCAGGTGACTGGAAATGAAATCATATATATAAAATAATGCTCTAATTTTTTTTTTTTTGAGGTGGTTTTCCATCTGTTGTACAGATTGTAAAACCCTCTGACAGAAACTATTGATCTGGGGCCACATAAATAAACTTAACCTGACTTGACATTAATGTTCCCTGTGGTACAACAGTTTAGGAATCAAATAAAAGGCAACCAAGGCTGGGAATTTAATCACTGAGCTGCAGCATGGGATATTTTCACAGCTCTCATGCTCTCCTCACTCTTGCCTGCCTCCTCTGTCTCTCTCCCTCTGTCTGTCTCATTCTCTGCCTCACTCCCTCTCATCATCTCCACAGCTGCTGAAGGACTTTCCGGACGAGCTGAGATCCGACATCACCATGCACCTTAACAAGGAGATCCTGGAGCTGTCGCTGTTCGCCTCAGCCAGTCGTGGCTGCCTGCGCTCCCTGTCCCTGCACATCAAGACCTCCTTCTGCGCTCCCGGAGAGTACCTCCTCCGGCAGGGTGACGCACTCCAGGCCATTTTCTTTGTCTGCTCGGGGTCCATGGAGGTGCTGAAAGACGGCATGGTGCTAGCCATCCTGGGTACGATAAAGAGATGGGGAAAGGCGAGGTGGTGGGGAGAAGGAGGGAGCAAACATCCCTTTGTACCATTATTATAGTTTTATAAAGAAACTTCCCAAAGCAAGCCTCATAATAAAGCTGTGTGTGGTTCATTGTGATAAAGCTGGGTCCTGTAAATGAGCTCATTGTTTAGACATAGGAGCTTTACAGTGTCCTATAGGCTAAAGCTCATTCTCAGAGCCTGCTGTTATTAAACCCCCATAAAATCAACTTTAGTTAGATGTCATTTTTTCAATATATGTCCTAGCAGCAAGAACCAAAGAAGGACTTATCTGTAGCTGTGCATAGAAAACACGGGAGCTGGATTCTTAATTTACAAAGCCTTACTTGATGTTGGGCGACATGACAAAACACACAGATTCAGCCACTGCACACTGTATTATATCATGAACCAGTAATCTATTCAGAGCAATCTATGATCCTCCAATTCCATATAGGTTAAACCACTTCAGTCCATTGATGTCCAGCTGAGTATGGCCAAGTGTGTTCTATAGCATTGTAATTCAGTCCTGTCCACTTTAATCTGTGTCGTCCAGTTCAGCCCAGCCCATTTCATCAGTCCAATTCACTAGAGTCAGGTAATTTCAGTTCCATCTAGTCGAGGGCAGTTAGTGTCTGTCCAGCTCTGTCTCTTGTAGGCAGATGAAATCAGTCTGTATATGGCACCCAGGGCCACATATTTATGCTTTCTTTTTTTAATTGCAGTATTTTAATTAATGTTTGATTTGCTAAGGCAGCAGCTAATTACAATGTCAGCTACCAGCAGTGCTCCCTGTGCATCCTACAACACAAAACTGAATGATATTTAAAAAAGGAGCATTTCAGTGGTGGGGCAACACTGAAAACCAGAAAAATAACATGTGAGTGATGCTAAAATAGAAATTGGCTACTCGTTAATGAGGGAATGAAATTCCAAAAACATTTGCTAGAGCTGCAAATCTGCTCAAAAATGTATTCATAAATTAAAATAATAATGGAGATTGTTGTGCTGTTGATGCAGAAGAAGTCATTATGTGAAGTTCTAATGAAAGAAAAAATAGATAATAAAAGGAATACAAGCATTGGCAACCAATGGGAGACCACCTCTGACTCATATAAATAATCTGGCCCAGCAGATGTTTAGTTCACAGCAGGTGTAGAAGGTATTCATATGATTGTCGTCTTCCTAGAATCCTGAGGTGATTGTAACCAAATGCATCTGATGAAATTGCCACAGCACATGGGCAGCACAGTAAACACCAAGGTGAAGCTCAAAGTCACTTTTTCGCCTTTTTCTCATTAGCTACTACATTTGACATCTCACATACGTACCCCACTGTCTCCTTCACTTGAATTTCAACAATGGAAACCTTTCTGCTTATTACTGTTTTCATTGTTGTGAAAAAAAAGCCACTTGTAGAAACGGTTTTTGGAACCAGTTCCCTGCAGCTCAGGTGGGTGGAAGGCTATGTTCTCTTGTCACCAACTTCCTTTCAAAAGATCTGTGCAAATATTTGCACCTGCTTTTGTGTGCTGGGGATCTTCCCAAGCAAAACCCCGGTGTTCACAAATTGTGTGAAAGTTTGGAGCTGTGGTGAAAATCACCATCGATGCCACTCACATCTCTGTGTGCAGAATAAATCTGAAACGAGATGCAAGCAGGCCTCAGTCTAGCAGCAATCCCAACCACGCACATCTGCTGTGTAACGCAACCTCTCGTCCTGAGTGACCTTGATGACTTCTTCTATCTGACCCTCATGACACAGACCAATCTGGCACAAGTGCATGTGTGTGCCAGGAAAGTGTGTGTGTGTGTGTGCATGCGTGTGTTTGTGAGTGAGTCAGTGAGAGAAAGCAAGATCGGAATCTGAAACTTCATCCATCACGTAGTCTCTGTTGGTGCAGTATTTAAAATCTTTATCTTAGTCTTTATTTTGTGTGTGTGTGTGTGTGTGTGTGTGTGTGTGTCTACCTGTTGTTTTTCTCAGCACCTGCATGCAAACGCTCCTGCTGAAGAAAGTTTGTTTGGGCATGTTTGTATCGAGGTTTGTAGGTGGAATTGTTTACTGGTGCACAGAATGGCGCGTATGTGGGTGTGTGTGTGGGTGGGTGGCGATGTGTGTGTGTGTGTGTGTGTGTGTGTGTGTGTGTGTGTAGGCTTGACAGGCGGAGAGCATTGTTTCTGCTCGCCTGCTGACTGTGCAGAAGGTCAGGCTGACATTGAGCGTCTGACTGAAGGGGAAAAAAGCTTCTCTCGCTCTGGCTCTGGTTCTCTCTCTCTTTCTCTCTCTCTCTGCATCCCCTTCTTCCTCAGCACCATGTAATAGAGAGCAGGAGAGTGTGAGAGAGGCCATGGTGAGAGACATGAAACAGAGAGGATGAGGAGAAAGTAAGGTTGATGGAGAGAGGAAAGAGAGACAATGTGTGTAGTGTGATGTCTGAACAAAAGTCAAAGGGCTGGGACTGAGGGAGGGGAAGGTAGAGAGAGAGGGGGGGGTGAGGAGAGAAAGGCGAGGAGAAAAGCCGAGGTAGGAACAGGAAGCATAGAGAGTTAAATGTGGAGGGTGAGAGGGAGCAAGGCTGTTGGATGAATGAGAGGAAAAAAAGGAAGGGAGGGAGGATGAAAATTGAGCTGAGTTGAGTTAAGGTGAGGTAGAGAAGGAAAGGAAGGAAGGCAGGAAGCAAAACTTGAAGAAAGGAATGAAAGAAAAACAACATGGAGGAAAAAAGAAAGAGGGGAAGGGAAAAATTAAGGAGGGAAAAGGGATGGGGGGACGAAGAGAAAATTGGGAGGAAGGATGGATGGACAGAAAAGGGAAGGGAAACAAAACGGGTAAATAAAGGAAAGAAAATCTAGGGAAAAGGGGAAACATGGAAATAGAAAGGAGGCAGGGAGGAAGAAAGGAAGTGAAGAAGGAGAACAGGGAGGAAGGGAAAAGAAAGGAAGGAGTGAAAAGTAGGGGGAAAGGAAGAGAGGTAGGAAAACACTAAAGAACAGAAGGGAAGGAGGAAAGAAGGAAATGAAACAGGTTAAAAGAATGAAGAAGGAATGAAGGAAAACTGGAAGGGACTGAGGTAGAAAAGGGGGTAAATATAGAGGAAGAAAACAGGGAAGTCGGACAGAAGAAAAAAGGAAGAAAGGAAAAAGAGGGGAAGAAAATGAACACAGTGAGGAATAGAGGAGAAATCAAGACAGGGAGGCAGCAGAGAAAATAGAAGACAGTGACAAAGGGTTTTGATACAGCAGGAGTGAGAAATCTGGAACCAGAGAGAGCCAAAGAGAGAAGGAGCGAGAGGAGTAATGACTGAAATAAGGAGGAGAGAGAGTGGACTGAGACAGTAGGAGAGATGGAGTCAGAAGAGGAGGAGAGTAAGAACAGTCACGACTGCCGCTCCATCAGCTGAGGTTTAATTGAGCTGCGTTCACAGTTCACAATGACCATAATGAATATTTTATCACTGCTTAAGGGGCATTAACACTGATGGGGTACTTAGCTTGGTCCTGTATGTATTAAGAGAACAGGAAACAGCAGCTGTCACAGCCGCTTCGCTCAAACCATACGATGTTCCTTAAAGCAGCGAGAGTGATTATGTTTCATAAATAATAATCATAGACTGTAAACAGCACTGTTGTGTTTATTCACCGTCTCTTCGGTGTTTGCCATCACTTAGTCATCAGTGATTATCTTTCAAACCATCTCGAGCTTCATCCCTTCTCCTTTTGTGGTCTAAACAGTTGATGCCTTCACAACATTTTCATTTTAACGTCATCTGACGAGTAAGTGGCAACAGTTAATTAGCAGGAGACGTTGATGTTAATGTAAAAGTGAACAGAGAAGCTTGTTGTCTTGTGTTTTGTTCCCAGCCGCCGCGCTGGTCTTTGTTGTAATGTACAGTGAAAGGGGCTGCAAGAGGTCGGTGAAGCAGGGGTTACCAACAGCCTCAGTTGGCAAAAGCCTGAATTACAGTGATGTTAAATGATGGTGGAAAGACAGTTTGGATGGCAGATGTATTTTTTTTTCCTCAGACTAACAGTCATTAACACTGCACAGTTAATTTGTAGTGTTATTTTTACACTTTTGTAGTGTCAAATTGCATCTATCTATAATAATTAAATAATACTTGTACCACTGAATAAAATCAAGTTACCACAAAAATGCATTTAACCACTTCACTTTTAATTGTACAAAAGCACCTTTTCAAGATGCATTTAACATTTGTATTTTCAACTTTTAGTTGTACAAAAGCACTTAACTGTTCACATGCTGCACTTTAAAAAGTGAATAGTTGTGCAATGGGTGTGCCTGTCGTGCCAGGCACCCCAATACAACAACTTGTTCACATGCACCACTTTAAAACCTTTGGAAAAACACAAGCCACAATGTAACAGTAAGGTCGTGTAACAGTGTACTTGCCCTGCCATTACAGAGTTCCAAGTGAAGTGTAAATAAGCATAAAAACAGTTAACTTTTGGTCAACCTAACAACGCCACCACTTTAGAACACTGACCTTAGGTCTGCATAAAATGGCAATATGGAACAACATATAAGGCGGTATCTGTTGTACCATACTTCATTTGAACATCAAATGGTTTGAAGTAAAAAAGATCATTTATGTGCAACACTTTTAGAACCTTGTCTGGATGGAGCTTGACCTTAAAGGCGTGGTAATGGTTATCAAACATGTCTTCCATCAATTTTCCACAGAGCAAAACACAGTTATCTTTTACAACAATCGTGTCAATCATACAAAATACAGGCATCTCACATGCTACCTCAGTACATATAATGAAGTCACGACGGTACTCTGTACCATAATATTTAATCCATTTGGCAGAAAACACACTGGTTGACAAAACAGTTCCAAATTTTGCAGCCATTGCTGCACCCTTAACTCAAAAAGTGTCACCATCTTTCCTGGACCTAAAATTAATCTTTCCTTGCTAAACGATTCATGATACATTGCCATATAACTTTGGTGCTTTTTGGCTAATGTCTTTGTAATGTTTTTAAAGCTTTTTAATTGTTGCTTGAAGAATTTATGTTTGGCTTCGTAACGCATGCACCATGTGTGCAAAATCGGACCAATGTGCTTTATGCTACAAGGGTAATGTATCGTGAAGTGATGCTTTGGCAAGAGATTTATTTCAGGAAATAATTGCTTGAACAGCCGATGATGATCAATGATTAAATGTTTGAGGTATATGGTCATGCCTTCTGACAGGACTGGTGAAAATACAATGTTAACAATATGTAGAAGCAAAAGTAGGAGATGCCAGTGTTTATCATCTGTCTCGATTAAATCACCAAATAGCAAAGGCATATTGCGTAACAAGCACCAAGACTGTATGGCATTCAACCCCAAATCATTACTTCCACCCATCAACTTATCTGTTGGCAGAGGTGGACGGTTTCGCTGCTGATTGAAACCATAGTCATATGCATGTATTCTACCAGCCACTTGTTCAGCACTTAGGAAGTTGCCTTGAATGTACTTCAGAATCAGTTTCACCTCAAACTGACCAACCCCCTCTAAAATATCATGCATTATATCTACAGCGAAGTTGTTGGCTGTGTTGAAATACTGAAGTGAATTCAACAGACAAACGCGTTTCACACCATATACATGAGGCAGCCTAGGATCTGTTTGTACAGTCTGACAGTGCTGTGCATGCGCATCAACAGTTCTTAAAACAACTTCCGGATCATCTTCACAGAATACAGTTTGAAAACAGTGTTTCTCAAGGAGACAGAAACGACAGCAATATCGAGCCCCAAATGACTCCACAAAGCCAAACAGACCATGCAAACCAAGATTGTCCCCAGTGACCTGAACTACAGTACCATGAATTGCATGTTCAAAAATTGGAATTTGAAGTGATGTGGTGATGTACTGCAAGATTAAAAATGTAAATATTTCTCAGTTGTATACACTGGATTTAACAAAGATTTTAATTTAATCTAAAAGCTACATTGAGCTAACTAAAAACTATTTACAAATTACCCATTCTTCTCCGTCATGTCAGCTGCCAGTATGTTCACCATTTTCCTTCTGGTTTCATCTGTCAGGGACTTGCTTCGATTATATTCATTTATTATGCGTTCCCCACCAGGTTTCTTGGCAAGAATGGATTCCACCAACTTCAAACAAAGAGCAAAACAAATCAGCATGTTGAGAATACATCTCTTTAATAAGTAGGGATTTAAAAAAAGATCTTAAAAACAAATGGTCATTAAAATAACACTATATACTTTTTTATGGCCTTGGTGCCCTAAAAATAATTCCTGTTCCGCTCTGGTGTTTGTGTGTTAATTCTTACGTGCTTGGCTTCTGTGTCCAGCCTCTGCCGTTTACCGGAAGGACTCTCTGAAAGGATGTCTGTATCTTGAGAATCAGACGAATCAAGGGTTGGTGGTTCAGACTGCTCAGGAGATGGTACCATGGAGACAGATTCTGACCATGATAGGAGAAGCAGATGGAAGAAAAAATATTAACCACAAGGAACTAGCATGTCCATTAAATACTGTAATATAAATTACAAATGTAACTGAGACAAACCTGTGTCATATTTGATGGTTAGCACTCCAGCTGAGGGATCCTTAACTACATCCTCAAATACATCGTCATCCAACTCAGTCCCCGAACTGTCAACAACCTTTACACCCTCTGTCACAGCTGGCACACCAAACTTTGCAAATGCTACAGGAGAAGACAAATGCTCGTGTAAACCAGACTTATGAATTCATGTCGGTCTAATACTCACACATATCCAATGAATCTGGAACATCACTTTTGAACAAACATCAATAAATTAATGTGTGACATAAAACTTATATTATTACTACTTTTTAAGCAAAGAAAGCATGCATTCAAACTTACTAAGTGTGATTAGAGATGGTAACATTTGTACTCAAAAGTTACTATTACAGTTACTATTAGCACCTTAAAGCTTCCAGTGCAAAGCTTCATTCCAATATCAATTTCTTACCTGCAATCAAAATTTCTTTCAGATCCAGCTCTGTTATTCTAACAAATTTTTGGACATCACCAAGTCTGGCCTTAATCAACATGGTTCCTGCAGCACATAATTCCTCATTGTCAGAATCTTATATGCTTATTATGATAACAAAAACACAAATATAACAGTAAGTGCATGGTTTTCAACAGAGCGGCCAACGACTTTTATGTTCAATTTGAAAATAAGATAATGTGTTGTTTGTTTCAGGCCACCAAACAGCAGACAAATGATCAGCTATTTGCAGAAATGACAAGCAGGGATCAATTATACTTATGTTTAATCACGTCAGCTTATGAACTAATCAAATCACATCACAAAAGCTTGGCCTGGGACTCACATTACCTGCGTCCACTGTAACCACCGTTTATGATTCCAGCAACGTGCCTCAGAAATGTGACAAGTATCTCTTTTTACCATGTGACTTCACGTTAACGCAAATGAGAAAACAAAGTTTGAGACAACAGCTGTTATGGCTGACGGTACATCACGCACTGCGACAGTAAGCATGATTTCACACGGACTACTTCCCTTTTTTTTTTACTTCAAAATAAAACACACGAGTCTGTGCTGTTAACTTTACCGTAGGCTAGACGAAAAATCACTCCAAAAAACAAATATGATCCCACTTTACATTTTGCTGAAACAACGTTACGAGCTGATGTACGTCACAGAGCAGACCAAGCTGGAGGGGAGGCATGCGGTCAATTTCTCAAACATGTGCAAACTGCTTCCCAAAACCGAATACAGCTTTATGTTACATCACATCATTTACTGTATAATATAATGACTGAAGTTAATATGTTAGTGCCTCGGCCGCAGAGTAATTTCAATCACCGTGAGACTAATATCAAGGTTAGACTAGTTATTAACACAAACGTTAACTAGTTTAGCCAACTCCCCTCACCAACACAGGCAAATGTTGATATAATATGAAATAATTAACTTAGCTGGTGGATTTGTTTGGTAACCAGTAAAAATAAATAAATAATTTTAAAAAAATGCGCACATGCCGCACACTTGATGGTTAACGTTACTGTTGATTTGAACAGCCATTCAGCCAATGTGGGGGTTATTTTTTCTCAACTCCGGGCAATTTTCACCAGAATTTAAGTTATGTTTAATACAACAAAACTATCTCTCCACATCATATTGCTAAGTTAATTACCTTTTGCGGACATGGTCAAGTTGGACAAGCGCGCATTTTAAGCTAGGTATTCACCAGGTCACGTTAGCTGTCTTGTCGAATTTGGTGTTAAGATACAAAACCCGCTCAAATACGGGGGCCAACAACACGATGTTCTCCTAAAACACCATTTCTGCTGTTGAGGCAGAAATTATCTCATAAAAAACCTTGATGCCTCGCCGAGTCCGTTGATGTGGGAGTAAACAGTCGGAGAGAGTGGAGGTTTAAGATGAACAGCGTTTTATTCACGTTCGGCCGAGCGTGGAGATCAGTACAGAGCATACAAGAGGATGCCACAAGAAGATCTGACTCGTTCTGGGTTTTACCTACTTTATACTGCTTGTGTCTAGGGGTGTAGTCTCTTCTGATTGATCCTCTTATGCGTGGTCTTTGCATGATCATAAACATGATTGGCTGTAAGACCCCATGATATGCCTATGTACATATCTGTCTTTGTGTGCCTTGTTTGGGTGTTTTCGTTTGTGTCTCAGTTCTGGGTGTTGGGTCCTCATTATCTACATGTCTGCATCGAGTCAGATATCCTTGCGGTTACAACAGTGAGAGCATGTCTAAGATCACTTCCTGTTTCATACTGTTCCTATGTCAACCAGGTCATCTTGTTTTGATCAACAACATATGTATTCAACAGCCTATGTTCTAAGAGTTACAGAGTGCATTTGCAGACCTAAACATTGGGACATCCTGTGTAGTACTTTGCTGTACTCACACTGCTGAAATGCCAACATAAAATTGGGTTAATATGGAAAAAATAAGAAACTTACCGCAGTCGTTCGACGGGGAGAAAAATGGCGTCCAGAAAAATCTTCAACAGTTTGAAGGAGGAAGAGGTGGGCGGGGCTTTCCAGAGTCAAATTAACACGGCGTCTTTTAACTCCGGAAATTTTCACCAACACCAGGGGGCATTCTACTCAATCTATTGTTGTAATCACTCCGAAAGAGTCAATGCACTTTGACACTGCATATTTAACACTGCGAAATTTACTGTGTAGCATATCAGTGCTTAATAAAACATTTATTAAATGTTATATAGATCATTTTAAAGCCATTCATAAGAACAGCTTTTGGGTTGCCAGGATGTGAAAAAAACCCTATGGTTTGGTGTTTATTATTCTAGCATGACACTTTTTTAGTTTTTTAGCTTGTAAATACATAATTTAACCACTTACTCTCTGGAAGAGAACTGCAGCAGCACATTTGAACCTACATCAATTTCTTTAAAAAAAAAAAAATTAACATTTACAATATCAGACAGATTGAGATCAGAGTGCAGGGGTCAAGCACCTCTGGAGACGGTATGGATTCAGTGTAGCTTATAGACACGTAAGCAGCACAGATGTTTGCTGACACGCAGGCTTTAAACAAGTCTTTAATAGGCAGGTGGTCTTCCTAATGACCCAGCATCACACTGCTCCAAAACCTCTCACACAATCCAAACTGAGTACTCCCTCAGAAACCCTTCAGTAAATGGAGGATCTAATGTTGCAGAGTCTGCATTAGAGACTCAATCCCTTTTACAAGCATGTGAACATTATGCGGTGACCCTGTCTCTCACCCGCTGCATCCATATCTCTCTCTCTGAGCAGGTAAAGGTGACCTGATCGGGGCGAACCTGTCCTTAGATGACCGGGTGATAAAAACCAATGCGGACGTGAAAGCCCTGACCTACTGTGACCTGCAGTGTATCAACCTGAAGGGGCTGTACGAGGTGTTGGACCTGTACCCCGAGTACTCCCACCACTTTGTCCAGGACATCCAGCAGGACCTCACGTACAACCTGAGGGAGGGGCATGAGACACACGTGAGTCCATCTAAGTGGTTTTAAAGCAGCTGTCTAAAAATGTGTTTTTCTTTTATTTTTAATTTTTGAGTTTCACTGTGCACACTGATATATCTTCTGTTTTCACATTCATTGGCTGAAGCAGGAAAGTTTCTCTGTGTTCACCTTGAATCTGAATTTCACACATTTCACAAATTAGATTTTTTTTTTTTACATCAAAACTCGTTTGTAAACCAATTACGATCCAATATAGAACTGACATCAGTGTGAACTTGAAACCTCCAGTGCAGGAGTAACAGGCAAACAATGTGAGACATCTGTATCAGACACAAATCATTATTCAAAGCAATGTACTTCTATATGTCTGGACGGGATTTTTAAACAATTCTCCCACATACTGATTTTATTACATAACAAATGCTCGTTATTTTACACATTTTCACCAAAAAATAAGCCGATTTTTGTTAAGATAGCAGTTTTAAACCTATTTTCACCCCGTTTGAAAGAGGAAGATAATCAGTGTAGTTTCTTGTGATGTTGACAATTTTGCAAGAAGTAACAGAAGGTGGAGAGCAAAATGAGAAGGAAATGCAAATGACTGTGCAGCTACAGTATTTGTCTCAAAGCAACTAAAATAAAGAGCCACAAATGGTCAAACAGTTTTTGCTTCAAATTGTACTTTAAAATCAATCTCTGCACTCACATTTTCGTATCATTGATTGTCCCTTTTTGTTTTGATAATCTAAATAAGTTTCTCTCTATGATGAATGAAGGTGCTGTAATAGTGTGTGAGGATGACTGATGGGTTGAGTGAGAGGGAAGCAAGAAGGGCTGGAGTTTGGAGGGAAAGAGTTAGACTTTGAGGGCGGCTGGAGAAAGCACGAGGGGAAAAGCTCTGAATTAAGAAATGTGTATGTGTGTGTATGTGAGAGAGAGAGAGAGAGAGCGAGAGAGAGAGAGAGATGGAGTGAGAGAAAGAGGGCAAAAATAGCTGTGGCACTTGGAGGAGCTGTACTGCTGTAATTACAGTCAGGTGTTTCTGTCTCTCCTGCCCAAACACCACTGGCCCACTTACACACACACACTCACCCACACACACACACACACACACACACACACACACACACACACACACACACACACACACACACACACACACACACACACACTCACACTACCTGCTGCAGGGCTTTTAGGTGAAGCTAATGTGCAGCCCAAACCACAGGACTGAGTAGAGCTTGAAAGAAGACAGAGCGAAGGAGGCAGCTCAGGGTGTGTTTGTGGCTGATGATGAGATTGCTGTTCGGACATTACTGTACTGTATACGAGCACAGCACAAGAGCGTCAGTATATTATTTTCCATCACTGCATCACCGCAAGCCATACAGTCATGTGTTATTTTCTTGCGCTCACTTTAGAAAATAATTTACTGCTGAGCCTTTTTGAAATTGCTCCTCTGTAAATTAAAACAGAGAAAATAAAGGGCCACATCTTTATTGTTCTTTCCTGCAGCTCATTTACTGTGTATTTCCTCTCTGGCTCTCTTCCAGGTTAAGGCCAGACTGTCCACAGCAGCTCTAGATGCTCAGGTAGCAAACCACAAGCACTCACACACACACACACACACACACACACACACACACACACACACACACACACACACTGATGAGAGATGATTTACAATCTAAAGGCAATAGGCCCCAATTTGAGACAGGTCCCATTTCCTGAAAAGACTCAAAGCCCCATCCACACAACATTTAAATCAGCCCGCAATAGAAAATGATGAAACTCAAATTAACGTTCAACTGGAGATCAATTTTTCTAATCCATGAAAAGTATGCAGGGCGAGACACAGCAGTAGACCTCCATCACTGATAATGGACTCAATCACTCTTTTTAGACTTAATGATTCTGATGAAGAGATTTTTTTTTTCTTTGGTGGAGAGGTCGAGGGAGGAGAAAGATCAATTCTGCACTGAAAGTGTTAGCAGTCATTAAATCACAAGTAACCCTGAATGGAAGGTGATGAAACGCTCTACATGGTGTCAAGCTGCTCCTTTTCTCATTGAGAATCTGCACAACTAACACAAATCTAAAAAATCTGTAGTCAGATATTTTACAGCAGAATCAATTCAGGTGCCTGAGCCATTAACCTCATGCTGCCGTTGTTTTCCTCCGAGAGTTGGGTCATAGGCCGCTGCTGATCAATAGGTTACTGTTGACCTTATTTCTGGTGTTACCTCATTTTACAGTTGATCAGCGTCATAGCAATTCAGCGTAGACAAGAGGACACAGGCCTCTGTGTTTATAAGAATAGATGTCAGAGTTCACTAATGTTACATTTATTATTCTGCAGGTCGCATGTGCAGCCTGAACTGTTGATCTGGGGCTTTTCAACACTATCAATCCAGCTGAGTGTGGCGCCCCTTGCACTTACAAGCCATTATACATATATATATGTATTAATAGCCCCTCTGTTTATCCCAGGGTCATGGTATTACCTGTACAAATACAGGTTCAGCATGAAAAAGGGAGGATATCAAAATTTGCTGTGACACAGAATAGAGGGAAGTGTTCGTTGTGATGACATCGGCTCTCTGCCTTTTTCACAGTTATGCAATCTACAAAAGTTCTCGTAGTATCCTCACTCCACGTGAACTCTGTTGTTGCTTTCAACAATTCCTTTCACATTTCCAGTCAGGGGTGAGAAGGAACGGGAGAGTGGTTCAGGGTTATCCGTCCATCATCGAGGCTCGGGAGGAACACGAAGACAATGAAGAAGAGGAGGACGAGGCAATGTCCGTGTCGTTGTCGTCGGAGAGGAACCGAGCGGTGAACCTCAGGGACGCAGGTGGGAAGCCTCTACTGAGCCGACCCAGCCAGAAGACCACGGGACAGAGCTCCAGGAGGTCTCGGAAAAAGATCCAGGAAATTACTCTCACCACTTTAGACCCGTCCAACCTCAGCCCCAGGTGAGTTTGATCATCATTGATTAGTCTGTCTGCCTGTGTGGGCCTGTATCTCTGTGAATCTGTGTGTTATGTCTATTTTTGTCATTCTTTGTCTCCAAACTAGAGCTGAGTTAAAAGTGAGAGGTAGTATTTGTATGACCTTTCATGGTTTACTTTATTAAACCAACTTCTTTATCCTCTGTAATGTGACCTACTGGGCAGGGTATAGTTACGATGGGGCATTTAAATCACTCAAGGATAGACTTCTGGCCACCACCCGCACATTCCTGATCCACATTGTTTCATCAGGAGAGGGAGGATGATTGAGAGATGAATAAATTGGACCATGCTCTTAAAAATGTAAAGTTTTGCCAATATCAAAGTACTCATTTCTGGCCCATGATATTGACTGATCACCCCAGTTTGGATCCAAGATGACTAGTGAGAGAAAAGATAGATATAAAAAAAAAATTGATCTATTTGTCAAATAATAATATAAACTGAACAACTGGGCACAGCATTAGAGCTTGAATGTAGCTTTAAATCAGCTGTATACAACCAGGAGACTCTTAGCTTAGCATAAAGACTGGAAACGGGCTAACAGCTAACCTAGCTATTGTACAGAAAAAGTGTAAAAACAAAAACAAGGTGTGGTAAAAGTCCTAATTTATTATGATATTATTAATTTATTATAATTTATACACTTTACACATGTGTTAATTATGGAGCCAAGCATGCCACGTCCCCCTGTTTCCAGTCTTTATGCTAAGCTAAGATACCAGTGTCCTGGCTCTAGCTTCATAGTTGGAGTACATAAGACACAAGAGTGGTAGCTTTTCACAAAATGTCAAACTACACCATGAAAACACATTTTTTTCAATGAACAGCATAATGTTACAATGAAAAAACAATGATACAAGATATAGACATACCAAAATATTAATATTATTAATATTAAAAATGTATATATTTCATTGTATTTAGAATATCCAACAATGATTACTTAATCTTTTCTCCCCCCTGCAGAATCGTTGACGGTACTGAAGACAGTGAGGGGACAGAGGGTTCCCTGGCTTTCTCCTTCTCCACCACCCGAGCTTGTCCTGTCAATGAACCAACCAGTGCCTCGGCATCTGCCACAGGTCCTCCCATCCTACAGCGCACATCAGTTTACCTCTCAAATATCACCTAATACCCATTTACAATCCCTCCAACTTCCCAAATCCTGGGTAGTGAGAAACGTTCACATTCAAAACCCTGCAGAACCGTTGTATAATGAGGAGGATTAATGTGAATTGGCAATCTCTGCCAATGCCTAGAGTAGTTATCAGCTGCCTCGATGCAATAGCTTCTGGGTGCAAATTTGTACTGCCTGTTCGGCGCGTTAGGTGATTTGTAACTTGCTAATTTGTGTCACAGATATACTGCAGATCAGCACAGCAGAATTAGCAGCGAAAGCAGAAGAGACCAGGGGACAACTGCGACATCTTGACCAGCAGGTAGGACTATTTGTGTATTTGGTTATGTTTGTGTGTGGTGAGAGAGAGAGACAGACAGGTGGGCACATGTAAGCACAAGCCATATGGCCATGTCAGCATGTCAGGCACAAGACAGGTGATTGGATTGAGAGAAGTAGTAAAAAATAAATAAAAGCTGAGGAAGTCCCGGTGTTGCTTTTGTATTAGGTTCTCATAGATCTTCTGTGCATTGTCAGTGGCATTCTCAAGTATCATATTCGGATGTTTTATAGACTTTGGAGGTCCGTTACCAGCTTGAAATAATCTGTTCGTACACACACATACACGTACAGTCTCTCGTGCTGTATCCCATGGTTTTGACTGGCGGGCTGCTAAATTGACATTAGACTTTTGGCAGGTGAGGAGGAGTGTTTGCTTCCTCCTGCTGAGCCCCAGTCTGTAGGATGATCAGAAAAAGAAACATGAAATAAAAGGGGGAGAAAAGAGTGAAAGGAGAAAAGGCAGAGGACAAAAAAAGACAATAAAGGGAGGGATAAAAGAGAGGAGTGTGAAAGACAGCGGCACAGCACCTACACAGTTATGCACATGGGCTCTTTTGTCCTTTCTCCGTCTCTGTGGGTTACCAGTGTTTGACAGGAAGTCTCTCAGCATGGTCTTGTAGGTTGTTAATCCTCACTTGCATCTATCCACACCGGTCACCATAGGAGATGAAAAGGGGAGGGGGTTGTTTAAACCCTATCTGCTCTCCACAAACACATACACAAACACAAATGACATGTTAGGGCATTGTATGTTATTTAGCACATGCAGGGTAGTGCCAAAATGTGTGTGTTTGCAGAAAAGTATTAATTGTTAAAGGAAAAAGAAAGAATTCATTTCAATTGAATTCAATAAATCCCAGACTTTCCTGTAATTTCTAATAGTTAGTTTCATATGTAGTGTGATGTAGAATAAGCCAATGATCCACTGCTGTTTCCCAAATTTGCTGTTGCAACTCGACTGAAGGTAATCTATTTTTTCAATCCAATAATTAACAACAATAGCACAATTTTTAAATCAAAATCAAAGCGCAAGGGCCTCTTGAGACAAACCACTGTGTACCGCAGTAAACCAAGGGGTGCAGTTTTCACTTTCTGTCAGTCTCACCTCTGAATAGCAAAACATGAATTTCAATTTTAAACCAAAAAAAAAACAACAAGGTTAATTTCTGTCAGAACCTCACAGGCAACATTTTAATGGATTACAAATTGTGTGAATGCAGCAGTGAGCCAGCTCTGCCTCGATCTGTGACCTCTTACCTTTGTCCTTTGACTTTAAGCTATATCTGTGCATCTGAAGGGTTTATTCTAGTGGGACCTGGTGACCTTTAGACCTGTAGTGTGTCATGGAAATCATAATGTACATCCACACACGAAGGTTCAAGCATTGCCTGAATGCTCTGAGTAATTGCACTTATAATTACGATAAGAGGCTAGAAACACACTACAACATGATACACACATACAACACAGACACACTTGAGAATGAGACGTGCACGCACACATACAATTACAGCAGTGGTGACCTACTTTAGTAAATGAACAGTGAGCAACAAAACCAAATAGGAAAAGCTGAGAATAAAAATTATTTTATGAACTGTACGTGTACTTTAAAGCAAGAATAACTGGGCCACTTTGAGGCAATGGAACAACCTGTTAACATAATATTGACATGCGTTACAAAGTTGTTGTGGCAAATGTGTTAGCAAGTTGCCTATTTACGCATCCAGCAGATTTAGAGCAACATTAACATACATTTGGAGCCGTGTCGTGTTTCTGGCCACTATTTACTCTCTTTTAGCTCTGTTTTGGTCTCCACCAACCCCTGAGTGAAATATGAGGCTGTTTAGCAGCTAAATGCTCCACTATGTTCACAAGCTAGCCACTAACCTGGTCAGTCTGCTGTCTGGTGCTGGGCAGGTAGAGTACTGTAAATTTATCTGACCTTTTGTTGCCTTTTGTTTGTTTGGAAACAAGGTTGATGAGAGCGGTGAGACTGAAAACATTAAAGCTGCAGGACATAAAACCAAAACAATGAGCTGATCGACACTAAAACATTCTGCAGATCTGAGGGAAACCACACTACGACCTTTCCACATTACATGTGGTCATTTGATCCATTGTTAATATTAAAATATGGATTAGTGCAACTTTAAGGCAAAAAATTATACTTAATTAAATAAACTATGCAGCTAAAGTATCTATATAAAAAAAGTAAATAATCCTTCAAGCTAAACTGAAGTGAATAAGCATTGTGTATATGTGTCGCAGCAAACCTAAGAGTGAGCAAAGGAAGGCATAGCACATTTACTTATATTATCATCAACCAGGCAGGCTTGTGGGAAATCACGTGATATCTAATATAGCCAATTACTAACTCATTCTATCAGTATAATAGTGCTGTAGTATACTCAGACTAAGATGATTACCATGAGTATAGCAGTTATACAAATAAAGTTAGCACAAGAATAAGCATTAGTAAAATTTTTAGTTTGGCATGTACCTGTAGCTGCAATGGGTTCTGGTCGTCCGTTGCTGCTGTTTTGTCTGATGGTTGTCTCTGAGGTGGGAGTACTGGAATCATGTTGACAGCGTGTCAGATTGGACTGTCCTGTCGCTCTCAGCTTTTCTATTTTTATCAGAGCCTTTATCAGCCACTCCAGAAATGGGAGAGATGGGAGAATTGTGAAAGAGGAGACAGAATATTTTGTTCTCCAAAAACTATTGACAGGCACTCAGTATGGCAGATCAAAGTTATGAAAAATACAATTAAATGTGCAGTCTACATACTATGTATACACTATATATATATATATATATATATAGTGTATACGCTGTACAATGTGTGTCCATGTAACTGAGAGAGCGAGAAGGAGCACCCAAGCTGATTTGATCTGTCGTGATCACAACATATTTATACGCACTGCCTGATCACCTCTTGACGAATCCACACAGTGACTGGAGCAGCTCCCACCTAGAGTTGTGTGTCCTGCTGAGGGCAGATGTGCATCCAGTAGCAGTGATGTGTGTGATGAATGGTCATGAGCGCTTTGACTGGCAGAAGCAGATGGCATGTTGGCAGGGCTTCATGGTTGTGCCCACTGTGGACATGCCACGTGCAGAGAGCAACTAATCACCAGCTCCGCCTCCCTCATCAGTGCAATGACCAATTATAGCAGCACGACATTACATGCAAAACAGCAGGCAGGGGACAGAAATGTTTTGACCCAAAATGACTGACCTGAAAATACCAAATTCATAACGATGTACTGTATATCCTTGGGCTTTTTGTTCCTGTTTAATTAGCAGCCTAAGTTTGTCTTTATTACATAACCAGAAAAGTCAGCTACATGGCACTGACTCCACTTTGAAAGTTGTAAGTGTTGAGGCCATGGATTTAAATGCAAGAGGTGGTGACAGAGTCAAATGCCTCAAGCAACAAGAGGCAAATTGGATCTTCAGTCTCAAAGCCACAAGTCACCCAGGCCTGAATGAGGAACTTGACTTCTTCCCTTTCATATAGTGGGTAATAGCTGGAAAGTGTGGCTCATCAATTACCACAGTGCCGACAGGTTGGTCAGAGATTTAGGTGCATTATGCTAGTAGCGGTTAATGTATCCTCAAGCCGCTAGCCTCTTGTAAGCTCACTTCTTTTTAACACCAACATTTTCTTTCATTTACAATCTTATAGTCTTCAGACCCAGCCGATGTATGAGACTTGACACTCCATCTGGAATCACAAAAGGCTTTATGTAACAACCCCAAGACCTGTAAACACACTTTGAGGGTGTAAAATCGGTGGAGTTGCCCTTTAAGAGATCCCCTCCTAACATCCCTCCATCAAAAATCCACAGTCCTTGTTCCAAGGAGAAAAAAAACAAATTCTAAAGTTTATCTGGAGTTAATAAGTTTCAGCAGTCTGTATTAGACAACACAGCCTGCTGAATCCGTGTAAATGCTGAGGCCTCGTATTAATTTGAGATTAACTATCTTTGCACAGAAACAGAAGTTTGTTCCCATCTCTTCCACCACAAGCATGCTGGGAAAGGATCTTTTAATGTCCACTGTGAACAGGAGGAATGATCAGAGCAAGCATGTTCGTGTGACTATTGAACCTATCCTTTCGTGCTGAGACACATTATGAGCTGATGTCTCAATGTGTTATACCACGTTTTCTGCCTCTGGTGAATGTACCTTAACACAGGTGTGTGGAATTAGATGCGGTTAATTGTGTGTCAAGGAGGGCAAGTATGCCAATGTATTTCTGTGACGTACTAGCCCAGATTTATTAGAGGCTTTTTATTTTGACTTGAGTCCCCGAATTTAGATTTTTATGCCACACCCACCCATGGATGAGGCCTGAGGTATTTTTTTACCCTTTAAAATTAAATGTAGCCTGTGTTTATGTCCGCAGGTAAGCTCCCTGGGGAGGGAAGTGGCTGACCTCGGACGAGTCATGAGGAGAATGGCTCAACTCATGGAGACCCTCATGTCATCAGTGCCAACACCTTCAGTAGAGTGCCCGACACACTACTCGCCGACACACCACCACACATTCCTGCCCCATCCTAACCCTCCTCAGTCGTACCCTTCACCAGCTCAGACTGCCTCCATCTGGACAGACACGCCCATGTCATTACCCTCCTCTCCTCTCACAATCCCCCAGCAACATGGTGTAATATGCCACATGGACTCTCTCACACATAGACCCCGGGATCTCCAGCTGGGGTACCCTCCTATCCCCAGCTCCACTCCACCTTCGACCCCCAGCTCGTCAGCCCTTCAATTACAGCCTCACATGCCTTCCTCGCCTCTCAGCTCACCGGAGATTTCCCACTACAAAGACGGGGCTTGTAGCTCCATCAGGTCAAGGGTACACAGTCCACCTCCGCAGGCCGGGGGAGATGAGGGCCCTCATCAGAGCTCCGGGTGTTCTCCTCAAACTGGATTAGGGGGGGCTTACCACAACCCAACCAAGAATTTGTAGCAGCCCTCCGTCTGAACTCTGCAGGACTTTTTCCAGGACATTTTTTGGGATATGTTCCTGAACTGATCAACTGGGGGCCCCCCTCCCCATATCTCTGCAGGACTTTTGCAGGGACGCAACTCAGATTTCTTTTGTTTTAAAGGCACGTATTTAAAAATCCAGTTGCATGAAAACAAGTACAGGAGGTTTAGGTGTGTTAGCTTTACCTTTATAGAAACGTAGTGTTGTCAGACAGGATGTAGAGGTTTGGGTCAGTTGTGGAGCTGTATGGTGGCAGCTCTCTGGGTGCAGCTCACCTCCGGCTCGCAACCCACCCACCTTGAGGCTCCTTCAGAGAGCAACAACAGGTATGCCATAATGGAGGAGAAGATGGATATGGTGGAGGAGGTGGAGAGAGTTGTTTCTGTCCTCTATTTTCTCGCTCCTGGCTAGAGATGGTTTAAGGTCGACTGGGTTGGTCAGAGGAAGAGAAAGCATCCTGAATGGTGGTGTTGGGCTTTGGAGACAAGGAGGGGAGGGGGCAGTTAACATCATTGCCCCAACCCCCCCCCATCTCTGCCATTTCTTCTCCTTTTAACCCTTCTTTCTTGCTCACTCAACCCATGCCTGATGCTCTGGATTGCCTGGACCAGTGCGTGGCTGGTTGGGGCTGGTTGTGCTAGAGCACAGGATGGTGCAAGGAGAGAGATGGGACGTATTGTGCTCTTTACCTCTGGCCCTCAGGGAAGAGGGCGGTTGGAGGGTGGTAGAAGTTGGTTATGGAAGTGGTGGTGGTGGTGGGGGGGGGTCGATGTTGCGCTTCAGGCAGAACAGCCCCTGCTGTCGTCTGTCACACTGAGCACAGGGACTCTTTCTCCCTCTCCGTTTCTCTTTTCCACTGTTTCTCTCCATTCACCTACCACACTCGCTCTTTCCCTCCTTTCTTCTCCCTCCTTCTTTCTCTTTCTCTCTGCATGCCTTTCCGAGCCTTTTGAGTAGTGCCTGTAGACACACATTAACATGCTGCATGTCACCATGTGGAAATCCAGCTTGCCATTTATCTATCTATTTAAAGGAAACATGGTTCATTCTTTTAATAGCTGAACCTGGCATTTACTGATGCATATTTATCGGATGTGGGCTCAGTTTTAAACACTGGGTAATTTTAGGAGCAAGGTAGTCACCCCTGTTGTGAAGTGGCCCGGAGCACTCCACCGATACTAAATTGGCTCATGATCGACATCGAGGGCCGTTTCCCTGATCGTCACCCAGGGTTACCAACTCTCAAGATCCATTTTCTCAGCTGTTCAGAGCGAAGGCAATATTCCCACATAAAAGCACAATAAGGAGATAAAGACGCTTTTATATTTCTATGAATGTATCAATACTAAAGATGTATTTTTTTACCTCAAAGAATGCAAGAGTGTGGGATGGCAGCAAATTATGCTACTGTATCTGAGATTATGGCAGTGCTGTTTGCTGGTACCAGCCAATGCAATCCTTTCCAAACCAGGAAAAAGGTCATAACTCTCGGCCCGACAGATCTACTATTCTCTTTTGAATTCATGTAGGTTTGACTCTGCTTCTCTGCAAATGGAATGTACTGTAATCAAACTTGTTTTTTCCCTTAACATTTTGATATTTATTAGATACGAAAACAGACCTGTTATGCTAATAAACGACAAATATGACTGTTATGTCCTGACTTTTTGTTGTTGTTCAGTGCATTCATTCATTCAACATTCATTAAAGCTGGAAAGACGTGGCCCCAACACACATCGCTATCATCATAATGAATAATTATAATAATATGACAGAAAAGAACAAGCAGACATCTTTCAGCATCTAAGGCTGGTGCAGGTGTCAAAAATATCCAAAATATAGCTTGTTGTTTGGTTCATACAATTCAAAATAAAAGCTGACGCAGGAAATGTTGTACCACTGGCATGCGTATTGGCTAGCACTGTTGTCAAGACAACACGAACTTATATTCATGGCACTGATGTGAAACTGGCATGTCGAGCGACTGTGTATTCATGTTCACAGAAACACACGAAGTTGATAACGCCAGATCTCTGTCATGCAAGACTGTTGTTTGTCCACACTCTGTTTATAATAGTAGTGTGTATTTGTTTTGTGTACGTGTGTGTGTGTGTATGTGTGTATGTGTGTGTGTCTGTCTTTTGTTAGCTGCTGCTACGGTTCATCTGAGGTGAAAGCGCAGCAATCGTCATGTCCCACTGGTGACGTAGCCCGGGGATGAAAACTGAGTAAGTATGCGTGCTGGGGATCACATTGACACACCTGTCACAGGTCCAGCTGCTCTCACCTGCGGAGGTACTGCTCTACTGTGTTTGTGTATGTGTGTGTGTGTTTGTGTGTGTGTTAGGAAGTGTGAGGGGATATACTTGGGTTCAGCAGGGACGCAGGTGAGATAGTGGCAGGGTTACTCTTATTTATGATGGAGATAACAGTGCAACCATGTCAAGGTGTGTATGTTTTTGAATGCGTGTGTGTGTGTAAATGCTTTTAGATGGGGCAGTGATGTGGTCATAAATGAATATATGTGTGGTCAAAATATTCCCCCACTCAGACTGTTTGTTGTGTGTTTTACTGAGAGGGTGCTTGCAGGTGGGTGGGGGTGTGTTTGAAAATGATTATTTGTGTATTTAGCAGCGCCTTCAGCACATCTGTGGAAATGCTGTTATTTAGCCCCGGGTCTTGAAGGCCCATCCATATTTAATGGTGTACAGACAATCCTATCCTGGCTGTTTATGCATCATTTTATCCACCTGCTAGCAAACTCATCTTTTATTCACTGCTTTCCCACTTTATCTGTCATTAGCAAACTGAGTCCCATCTGCCTTTCTCCTTTGCACCCATGCTTTTTTTTCTTTCCCACCACTTATGATTTTCGATTAGTTGAGTCTGACTCAGGGGAAAGGAGAGAAAAGGGGGAAAGCTCTATAGAAATGCTAAAAGGAGAAAGCTGATTGTTCAAAGAGGTGGGATGTGGGCTGGTTTGATATCCGGGCATTCATTTTTTTTACCTAACATACACTTAACTCTGTGTTTCATATTCATTCTCCTGCTGTGGGTCTGTGTATGTGTCTAATCCACACGATTCACATTGTTTGATGATGGCCCTGACCCAAATACAGCAACTATTCATCCCTGTCCACTCTTTTCATCTGAACACACACAAAAAATGCAGTATGAACACACAGGCGCGCGCGCGCACGCACACACACACACATTCACTCTTCCATTCAAATGAGCACTTTATCCCTGTGAAAAGAGCCTCTTCACTTGTCCCTCGCCCCAGATTTCAGCACTAAAAAACACCATCGCTGTGCAGGAGGTGAGAACTTCTCTCAGGTAATAAAAACATGTCCATTTCTCTCCTTTCATCTCTGCCGACATAATGGAGATATGTTGAAATCTGCCAGCTGTTGGTGTGGTCTTTCAATTCAGCCCTGTCTGAGCTGTGATTGGCTGGTTCCCCAGGAACAGAGGCTGAGCTGTGTGCTGAGCCAAAGAGACATTATGTTTGTGTTTGGATGTGTTTGTGTGGTCTGATGTGTGTTTGCTAGTGGCTCTGGTTATGTGTACATCCATGTATACCAAGTGTCTGTGCCTTTATGCATATATAAGAGCGTACATCCACATGTAAAATGTGGAAAAAGCTCTCCACACAAGGGCTTTACATTTATCTGTTCCACTCTGGGGGAGACAGTGGCTGCTTTTGCACATCCAAACAGTTATATTTGCATTGGTATAAAGCAGGAAGGGAGGGGGGGATGAAGCTTGCAGGACATCTTGTGTGTTTGATAAATGAGTCTGAGCTGCTCCCCTGGGTGCTATGGAACAAGTGGTGGTGGAGGGATGGGCGGCAGAACAATGTGAATGTCAGAAGTGGAGATTAATGGTGGCTTCTTCTCTTAGAGGTGTAGGTCTGGGTATGCTCATCAAGCGGAGATACTGTAGCGGCTGCTAAATTACCTCTTTTGTTGCTCAACTGTCAGAGAGTAGTCTGGCATTTTTAAGCAGCAGATAGGAGGATCATCAGCATGTAAAGCTTTTGGTAAATAGTTGTCTTCCATTGTGTTGATGTAAAGGGTCCCTGTTGAAAAGTCTGAACAGACACTTATAGAAGAAGACAGGAGGCATTCCTCTGCCTATGAACACCGGGCAGCATTTTACCCTTTAAAACACTGTTAGGCAGCTGTACATAATGTACCATTCCATTCTGCTGTGTGATGGTGTGTTTTTCTAGGATAACTAGGCAAAAATAAAGCTTTTATTTTCAGCCATATACCCGACTATTGCATAACCGGAGATGCCAGCTGAAACATCAAACTACCTGGTAAGATAGGAAATAGGGCTCTGTCTGCTCTGTCTCAGCTTGTGTTTCTTGTCTGTGAGCCACATTTAGTTTTCTGGACATTTGTTTGTCACCAACTGAGATGTAAATTGAACTTACAAGTAGAAGCCTTAAATTACCATTTCACTTTATGGCTGGTTTATGAACACATTTTAGACAGAACCACATATTTATGAATGGAATAAAATGGAATAAGTTCCATATTTTTATACTCAATATAACACATGAATATTCAGAATGGTGTACATACTTAACCTTATTTAACCTCTTACCCAGAAGCTTGGCCAATATTGGCCCATTTGTTGATGGATTATTAACACTCTCAAAAACCTTATATCTGTGTAACCATTTATTGAACTGTTTGCTTTGGGTTTTCACATCCACTTTATCTCAAGAGTTACTTAAAGGAGCCATTTGTAAGTTTTACTTTTGCTACATAGCCAAAGTTAGCATTACCAGCTGTTTACTTACCAGTCTTGACAAGAGCTTCAGGCATTGTTGCATTTAAAATACAAGAAGTCATAATACACCCTCTGAGAAGTGCTAATTCTTAAGGGCAGACTGGACGCTACAGTGACTCCGTATCGGAAAGTGGCAAGACAGCCCGACCAGATCCTAACTAGCTGGTTAGCATGCT